GGCTGAGGTGGAAGGATCGCCGGAGCCCAGCAGGTTCGAGGCTGTGGTGGCCGGGAGCGGCCACTACACTCCAGTCTGGGCGACAGAGTGAGACTCCACTTCAAAAAAAAAAATTTAGCCAGGCGTGGTAGCGTGTGCCTGTAGTTCCAGCTACTTGGAAGGCTGAGGCAGAAGCATCGCTGGAGCCTAGAAGGTGAACACTGGGGTGGCCATGAGCATACCACTGCACTCCAGCCTGGGTAACAGAGTGAGACTCCAACTCAAAACAAAACAAAACAAAAAACAAATCTGAAGCACTTAGCATAAAGTCTTCTTTGGGCTAAACAAAAAAAGCAGGGGACCTTGTCACCTGGGGGACCAAAGGGAAGGTCCAGGCAGAGACTTGGAGCCATGAGTAACTGCCAGGATGGACAACAGTTGGGCATTTGGGCAGTCCAGAGTGAGGAGCCAACACAGGCTAGTGGGCACCTTGGGTATGGTGAGAGTAGAAGCCAGGGAAGGCCAATATTTAGGAATGTGGATTTCCCTCTTTCTGTGGATAGTTCTCACCAGGTATAAGAGTAATCAGCCCCTCACTTGCTGATCTCTCTCCTATACTCTCCCTGTTCCACCCTTGCCCACTCCCCACATTGCTCCCCGTCCTCTGCTGGCTCAGGCTGCCTGCATCATGGTAAGGTCAAGCCAGAATATGTTTTGGGTCTGCGTGAGATACAAAAAGCCATTCCTCCGACCCTCCCTACCTGCTCCTTTGTCCCCCCAGACATCCTACCTGCAAGAGGACACTGTGAGGCGCAAAAAATGTCCCTTCCAGAGCTGGCCTGAAGCCTGTGAGTGCTGCTCCTACTTTTGTGCATGTTCTCTCTCTCTCTCTCTCCCCTACATACACACACACTTCATACCTGTGCTGGAGGAAGCCCCCAGAAGCCATGAAGTCACTTTCCCTGAGTCAGTGGGGGAAAGGGTTGCCAAGTCTATTAGTCAGCCTGCCAATAAATTAGAGTACTGAACATTGTAGTACTGTGAGGCATTCATATAAATATGAGGCTTAGCACCTGAGACCCAACCTCTACCATTTCACAATCTATGTAACAAACACACATGTGTACCCCAGAATCTAAAATAAAAATGGGGAAAAAAGAAATATGAGGCCCAGGAGGTGATGTCCTAAGAAGACCTGGGTTCTTATCTCAGCATTGCCAATTATTCTTTGAGCCTCACTTCCCTCGCCTGTAAAAAATCATGATGCCTGCTCTGCCTTTAGACTCTTTCTGAATTAAATGTTGCGTATGAAAGAAGTCGGTGACATCTAAAGTGCTGAACACACTTGTCCTCAAGGACAGATGGGACACTCAAATACAAGTAAACAGCACAAAGCAGCCTACAGTACATACAGAGCAGAGTTATAATTAAGGTCTAGGCTTCAGGGCAGGAACGCAGGAAAGGGAGAAGCCCATGAAAGGCTGTCATGAGCTGGAAGGTCTCTAAGCTGGGCTCAGAAAATGGGCAGGATTTAGAAGGGAGAAATGGAAGGCGACGATATTCCTCGTTATGAGAGAAGCCTGAGCAGATTTCGAGTATGGGGAGGAGTAAGGAGCTGTCCAGAATGGAGGCCCAGGAAGGAGAGGAGACAGCTGGATGGAAAGGTAATGAAAGGGGACTAGAGAAGGGATGCTCATTTACTGAGTACGTATTCAGGTCAGGGCACTTGTACAATGTCATTTTTTACTGTTCTGGGGATGTAGGTGGCAAAGTGGGGCCAAAGCAGAACTGACCCTCACCTGCTGACCCTTCCACCTGCCTAGATGGCTTGGACTTCTGGAAGTCAGTGCACTTCACTGACTACAGCCAGCACGATCAGATGGTCATGGCCCTGACACTTCGCTGCCCACTGAAACTGGAGGCCTCCCTCTGCCAGAGGCAGGACTGGCACACCCTCTGCGAAGACCTCCCCAATGCTACAGCTCGAGAGTCAGAGGGAGTGAGGACAGGTGCCCCCAGGACTGGGGTGGGCAGGGCTGGGGCCTAGGGATTTTCTCCCTGACTAACTCTCCTCTCCACTGACAGTGGTATGTTTTGGAGAAGGTAGACTTGCACCCCCAGCTCTGCTTCAAGGTACAACCATGGGTGAGAGGGGATGGGTAGGGTAATGGGTACTACCTGGAGCTTGCTGACTTGCCATTCCTGTATTTCTCAGTTCTCTTTTGGAAACAGCAGCCACGTTGAATGCCCCCACCAGACTGGTGAGCCAATAAGTAACCTCGGCTGCGACTCTCTGCCCCCATTTTACCCTCACTCAACTGTGACCACGCCAAACCCTAGCCCAGCCATGACTTACCCATCAACTGCAGCCCAGTTCCTGTCACTTCCTACAAACAGGGTCTCTCACATCCTGGAATGTGAGCATGGATACCCAAGCCCAGCAGCTGATCCTTCACTTCTCCTCGAGGATGCCTGCCACCTTCAGTGCCGCCTGGAGCCACCCAGGCTTGGGGCAGGACACCTTAGTGCCCCCTGTGTACAGTGTCAGCCAGGTATGGCCTCGCCAGGATTTTGCCCCCACTAGGTCCTATTGCTCAGAGCACAGCCCTCAATTTCTTTGTCACCTCACTGAGACAGACCCTGGGCAGATGGAGGCAAACAAATCCAATCCCTGAGTTCTATCATATGGTTAATTTATTTACTTGATCAGCCTTTGTTCAGCTGCCTCCTCTGACAGTTACAGGGGTCCTCAGTGGAGCAGTTTTAATTCTTTCAGTTTCTGAACTTACAGGAATAATAGAGGCAAGGGACTGGCCCTCCCACACTCAGCTTTTTTCTAGCCTACCCAACCAACTTTCTTTTTTTTTTGAGTCAGGGTCTCACTCTGCCACCTAGGCTGAAGTGCAGTGGCATGATCATGGCCACCGCAGCCTTGACCTGCTGGCTTGACCTGCTTGCACCTGCTGGTGCTATCCTTCCACCTCAGTTTTCCAAATAGTGTGCACCACCACGGCCAGCTAAATTTTTTTTTTTAATTGTAGAGATGAGGTCTCACCGTTGCCCAAGCTGGTCTCAAATCCCTGGGCTCAGGAGATACTCTCACCCTGGCCTCCCAAAGTGCTAGGATTACAGGTGTGAGCCTCTGCACTCAGCACAAACAGCATTTTATGTTGATGCTTTCCCTTGAAGCTAGCTGTTCCCTACCACTACTTTTTCCTGCCTCCACTAGGTACCTGTGCAGAAGTTCTCTGATTATCTTAGGAGCTAGAAGCCCTGGAAGCTGAGTCCTCCTTGCACAATACTGTAAACTACTGACAGATTTAACTCTATTATGTGGACTAGAAACAGTTTGACTAGCAGACTCTCTTCTGTATTTGTGATCTAAAAACCACAGTCAAATACACTGCAGTACCACAGCACCAAGCTAAGCATGATTAGCTCTTTCCAGTTCTTTCTTAAATGCTCACTTGCAGCTTGTTTGTTTTGCATTCCATGAGGGCTCCTAAGCAGATGGATGATAGCAAACACTTAAGATTTAAGACCAAGTCATGCTTAAGATTTAAGATGAAGTCATGTGGGATAACCTAAAATTGAGACCTAAATTCATTGACTCACGTGTTTCTGTGAGCTGGGAAGAGACCACCTTTATTGAGCCACTGCATCACAAGCTGGCTGTAGACTGGGATCTGAGACAGGTATGGCGTAGGAAGTAGAGGATGGAGGGTGTTCCCGAAGGATGGAGATTGCGGTCAACTCCCAGCACCCAGAATACAGGATGGAGCCACATCCTGTCTGTAGTTAGATGGCAATTAAATCTGTCTAATTCAGTTTGCGTTTCCTGAGTGCCTACTTTGTGCTTACCCTGTATTAGACCCGGGAGATGCAAGAAAATTATAACACTCAGTCTCTGTCCTTAAGGAGTTCACAGTTTAATAACAGCTACTACTAATAAATAAATGCACACTTCAGTTTAACATAAAGGGCGTTCACATGCACGCTCTCATCTGATACTCTCAATAATCCAGGAAAATAAAGATAAGAGTCTCTCTCATACACTAATGAACAACTGAGGCTCAGAGAGGAGAGCTAACCTATCTCCAGGCAAAGATCACACGGTCAGGAACTACAAAGGCAAGAGCTAAGCCTGAACCTACATCTGCTGACCCCACGACTTACTTTCTTTCTAATGGGCACGAGAGATACCTCTTCAGCTGTGTAGGAGAGTGAAGCGAGGCAGTAGATAATTAGCCTCCTTGGTTTGTGAGCTGTGGAGGACAATGTCTGCACCCGCCTTCTTTCCTCAGGGCTTGGCACAGAGCAGGTACTCAGAGTATGTTTGTTGTCAAGTACCTGATTGCAGCAGGATTTGACATCTGGGAAAGATCAGTGGGGGCTACTGTGGCTGGGGAAGTCTTGTCAGAGGTGGCCCTTGGCCTTAAGCCTGGTTAGGAATGTGGACCTCATGGGAGGTAGGGAACCCTCTCCTCCCTGAGCCTCAGTTATTTCATTTGTGTATGGGAGATCATTTTTACTTGACTGGGTTATTGAGAGCATCAAATGGGAATATGCGTGTGAATGTCTTTTATATTAAACTACAGTGTGTATTTATTTATTAGTAATATGGTATGGTCAAAGACTCAGGCTGGAGAGAGTCAGATTTGCCTCTATGGGGATGGTCATTCTGCTCTTTGTTCCTACAGACCCAGGGCTCAAGCCTAGTGACACTAGACCTCATCATTCCTTTCCTGAGGCCAGGGGGTTGTGTCCTGGTAAGGAATCCTACCTTTACTCTGCATACAGACTCCTGGCGTCTGTTCCTCTGGTGGCACCCATGCAAAAATGTTTGATTTGGCCAACATGGTGTCTTAAATTGGAACTTGTTGCCACCATTTACATGTGTAAACAAAGCTGGATCTCTGTCTTCTCTTGAAAAAATCAGAAAGCCTAATGCTCTGTGTTCACTTACTGGCATGGTGACAATGAACTGGAGCTCACTGGTGTCTGATTGTTTTGTCAGGGCCTGTACTGTCCAGGTCCTCACAACAACCCTGGCCAGGTTTATGAGGTTATTTTTTGAGTTTGGCCCCTGTCACACTTGAGTTTGCCACCCTTGGCCTGCTTTGTGCAAGGCTGGGCCTAAATTTAGGTGTCAGTCTGTGTTCTGGACCAGACACAGACCTGCACTGGGAGAATTCCTTAGCTGGTGGGGGGACTTTCCTTCTCCCCCCTCCATGTCTTGGTCAACATCCCCTGGATTGAGAGGATGCCCCGGCTCACAGGGGTGGGGGGGCTCTGTGCCCTCAGGTATGGAGGTCAGATGTTCAGTTTGCCTGGAAGCACCTCTTATGTCCAGATGGTGAGTCTTTGGGAAAGGGGAGGTAAGAGGGAGGTTGGGCACTGAGGAGCTGATCTGGGCCTCACCCTGCTTGACTCAGTCTCTCATAGACGTCTGGGGCTCTTGATCCTGGCATTGCTGGCCCTCACCACCCTACTGGGCGTTCTTCTGGTCTTCACCCTCCGACGCCCACTATCGGGTAAGCTCACTTGAACTTGGAGATTCAAATGTGTCCAGCTCCAGCTAGTTGCCCCTTCACTCTCCCCTGTCCCCAGTCTCTGCTACTCAAAGGGGGCCTCAGATTCCCAGGAGTGGTTAACGCAGGGCAAAGGCCCTCAGTGAAGATTGTCACTGTACTGAGAGGCTAGTGGAGCAGAGATCCAGCCTACACTGCCCTTGCCAAGCCTGGCACCCCAGCCCTGGCTCCGGAAGGGGCACCTTTATCGAAATAGCCCCCAGGCTCCTAATAGACCAGGGCTGCTTCGGGTACGAACCCCGCCCCCGCCCCGGCACCCGGCGCAGATAAGGGGCAGGGGCGGGGAGGTAGCAGCATCCTACGGTGCAGCCCAGAGGCCCGGGAGGAAAGGGCTGAGCAGCCCCCTAGGCCCTACCCTATTCATCTGTTTCTCCCGCCCGCAGGCCCGGGCCGAGCGCGGCCGGTGCTGCTCCTGCAC